CCGCCAATATCGCGGCACGAACATCCGTCATGGCGTCATCGTGGTGCTGACTGGTGTGGTGCAGATGATGGGTTAAAATGACACATGCGTAAATACTCAGTCAACAAGTGCTGCATTTCTGTGTCCAAAATTTCACAGATAGATGGGGACAGATTCTTTCCGGATCTGTGAATCCAAATGCAGTGTGGATGTGGGTGCTCAAACAATATGGGACTGTTTCGGAAATCAATGTCCATATTTATTTAATAGGTACTCATGGAACTAAGCTTTTATGCTGCTGAGATTTGTCGCTTTATCAATGCATATGCACAACGCACATACCCTGACTAATGACTATTTCCTTGTTCATGTCCCATTTCTCCAAATCATCACCATCCACCAGCAAATTGGAACATAAGCGGCAGCCGACAGCGCACATCGCTTCGCTATCCTCTGACGCAGGTCTGCCCACGTGTCTGAACAGCAGGTCCAGCCCACTCTTCAGAGGAATCATTTCGGACGAACCCCCGTTTCAACAGCGGACTTTACCGTAGATCGTTATGGTGCTCTGAAATTCATTTGTGTGGATATGTTTGATTGGTTTAGCGGATGCTAATAGACATTCAGGCATGAGTGATGGAACCCATTTCAATATATGGCATATCGAGCAATGAATCTAATGAAGGTCGAGGGTACTCGGGCCTGCTCAATTTCCTTTTGCTTTATGTGGAAATGGAATGCGGCAAATCGAAGCTTTGACAGTCAATGAGTGAATTTCAGTCCAGGGCCCTGGTTTACCGGTGATAGCAGCACGCTGCTATCACACGTGTCAAATTGGGTTTCCATGGAAACATCAACAAACCATGCCGGCGTCAATCTGTGTGACGTCATCAAATATTGCTGCTAACATCTTTACGGCTGTGCGAATGTATCAAACGCATTCAACGAGACAGCAACTCTGTTCCAAACGTATGTAGCTATGAAAAAGCTCACGGATTAAACGAAACGTCATTAGTGTGACGTCATCACATTAAGTCAGCTCGCACAATTTGATAGTAGCGTGCTGCTATCACCGGTGAAACAGGGCCCAGAATTCGTGGAAACGCACAAGCTTCACCCAAAAGAAGTTCTAGCTTTTCACCTAAACGCTCCAGTCGCCGGCTGACCTAGGGATTGCGACCTTGACATCATGTGCAATTATGACCTTATAGAGAGCAGCTTGATGCTTCTTTTCACAAACATGGGCACAGTTTCCAACCGAACGAAATATGGCATCTATCTGAAGTACGGCATCTATACCTACTGCAAAGGCCGCGCACGCTCATTTTGTAATAACACGATAGAATTGGCTGACGGGATTGAACACAACGCACTTTGTGTTCACTGTTCAGTGTCAGGTGAATGAGAATCTCTCAATCTGAGTATCAGTTAGATCTTTGTCAAGCCTTTCTTCGTTTTGGATAAACACTCTGCATAAATAATTATTAGTTACATCGAATATATAATCGAAGCATGCCGCGTAGAAGCAGTTACTGTTTTAAATGTTCAGTGTTCACTTCGCGTCTTCTATGTTGAAATTGTGCACCTTGCTGGGTCTTCAGCAAATATTAGATCAGAAGCGCAGTATCGATTACACGCCAGTCTGCTAGCGACCCTTCACCATTGCGTTCAGAGGCGACGTTTTTCTCGAGGCCTTCACAAGGTCGCTATTTTTGTGTGAGCTGTCGTAGGCTTTCAGCAGTCTGTCTCCGACGACTGCAACTCCTACTAAGGCTCCATTTTGTCAATGCCAATCTCTCGAGTGGGTGTTTTCCTAGCCGACCCTGAGTACGGCGAAAATCTGTGGTACAAAAGTGTATAAAAAATGATTAAACGCGTGAGAAATGTGTTATTTCATTTCGACAACATTTTTCATACCCACAAAACAGAAGCTATTTTCAAAGCTATATTTCAAAGCTATTTGCAAAGCTATTTTCACCAAATGTTCTAAACAACTCGGCGATATAAAAAACGAGGCTGACGATATCTTTCGACGTAAGATCTTCCGACGGCCTACTCGGTTAGGGCACCTGACGTGCCATACGCGTAATGTCTTTTACCTATATCTTGAAAAATAAAATTGGACTTTACCTACTATAAGCCCAGGTGGTATTTTCCATTTGACTTGCTACTACACACAGAAAAATATTAACACCGTTAGCGGTGTAATTGCACAGTACATATCTGAGCACTTGCGGAAAGTTAATTTAGTCCCTTCCCCGCTTAAATTACTCGCGCTTCTAAATGAACACCAGGAAGAAGGTAATAGAACACTGTTAGGAGGGTTGGGTGTTTTGCTACATGTAGTAAAACACCCAACCCTCCTAACAGTGTTCTATTACCTTCTTCCTGGTGTTCATTTAGAAGCGCGAGTAATTTAAGCGGGGAAGGGACTAAATTAACCCGCGCCCCGTAGGGCTACCGGCGGACCCTACCACCCGTAGGGGGGGGGGGCCGTTTCGGCCCCCCCTAAGATCTCGGAAATTTACCGGCCGATTTTCAAAATTCAAACGGCGTTTGATAGCCCTACCCGGGAACTACCTTGTGACCAAATTTCATTGACCTAGGTCAAACCGATGACGTCACAGGTCAGGTCAAAGGTCAGATTTTCACCGTTCACAGGCAATTCAAGAAATGTGCTGTGAAATCGAGTAAATTGGTAATTTATTGAAAACCATCGATGGTATATTGTTCGTCAAACACATACTTTGCTATCTGAGGTCACTGATACCAGGTCAGGTCACAGCGAGGTCAGGTCACCGGGGGTCACAATATGAATGTGTCGTGTGATACATGTTTTATGGTCCATTTTACATGACAAATGCGATTATGTGGGTTAGGCAGCCTTTGGGGCCAGCCTAGGTCACGTTTTGGTGAAGGTCAGGTCAAGGTCAGGTCAAATTAGGTCAAATTTCAAAGTTGATATTTTTGCATAAAATGGGTATTCATTCGATGCAGCTCGTCACGGGGAGTCTAATGGTGGTCTTTGTTTTGCTCTACGGGTTCTAGAATTGCCAAAAATTGAGTTTGAAAATTTGACGTCATCATTTTTGAACAGTTTTTTCGCTATAACTTGGCCAAAAAACGAGGTATCGATCTGAAATTTGGTATGTAGATAGAAGACGGTAGGTACTATCACATATATTCCGGTTTTTTTCGAAACTCAAAAAACTTTTTGGATTTTTTGTCTAATATATCCAAAAAAATGCTTTTTTGATTTTTGGGGATCAAAACTCAAAAATTTCAAAAATCCGAGATAGCAGTTTTGTAGCCCTGTCAATTCTACACCTTTTATGTCTTGATTATTTTTCTGTATCTTCAAAGCTGTAGGCCTGACAGGTCTTCTCGCGAAGGTCTTTTTTCGGTCGAAAATGATAGAACATGACGTCACTCTGACGTCATTTGTGGCCAACCTATCACAGCCTCTGGAAAAAATTTTGGTCACAATGTGTAAAATTGATGCCCAGAGGGGTCCTGAAAGTTTAGTGGCGATATCTCCAGCCGTTTAGGAGATATCGACCGAAAAGGACAGGGGGGGCCGTTTCGGCCCCCCCCCCTACGGGGCGCGGGTTAACTTTCCTCAAGTGCTCAGATATGTACTGTGCAATTACACCGCTAACGGTGTCAATATTTTTCTGTGTGTACATGGGTTGCTGATTATATCAGCCATAGATTGGACAGCTGTTTAGCGTCTTCCTCTTCAAATGAAACATGCGATCTTGGCATCTGTATTGACGCAAGCAAACATGCGAAAGAAACCAATGGCCAAACTTTCAATAGGATGCGCATAATATCCGGCCAGTGTCGATCCCCAAACAAATGTCGCAGAAATGGGACAATTTCCTAACTGCACTGTTCAGCGCTCGTCGCCATCCGGTCGCTGAGCGCGGCACTCTCAGGAGAGCCAACAGTCACCGTGGCTCTGACAGCCGCTCGCTATAAGCCCCAGTCTCAGCACGCATCGGCAGGCACCGATAAGACCACCCCTGAGACACCCAGGTGCGTCGCGGTGGGCTTATCGGGGCTCCGCCGCCGCTTCGGCCCCAAGAAAGGTCGCTCGGCTGGGCAGGGTTGGCGCTATGATGGCGTAGAAGCTGCTCAGTGATCAGCTGTATCAGTTGACTTCAGCTCATGTAGCTTTTTAGATGAAGTAGTTATCTTTAGTAATATGCAAAGAAATGTCCTTCACCAAGCTATGAATCGATATCTTGCTGTAAATCAAACACCTTGGTATGCATGGCCGATGTGCGGCAAACATTTCCGTTGAATTATCGTGTCATCGGGCAGACCGTGGCACTGCACGCCGGGCCCAGCTGGGGATGCGGCCCAGCTGGGCGTGTTTTCTATTCGCCTCCTCCTCTGTGAGGCCCAGCCGGTCCCAGGTGGCTCTCCCCGGGTGCGGCTAGATCCGAAGGGAAATCGGCCCGGCTGGGCGCAGCCGCCGACCGCACCGAGACGGCAGCGGAGACCGGCCGTGCATGGAGCGACCAACGCACCCAGAGCCAGACGATTGATTGGAGCAGGGTCATCGTTTTTTTTTTCTTCTTCAGACTCGTGTTTACCTTGGTTGAGCTGATAATGTAGTTGACGAAAAACGGCATGGTTACACGGCGATAAGTGCGATAAATACGCCAGGTGAGTTTGCTTGACAAATAAGTCAAATGTGCTTACTGCATATACGTTACAAAATGCATTTTTGTTGGGGATTCAGTTAATCGAAGATATGTACCTGCCTTTTTACCACACATTTGCATTACACTTTGATCATAGTCACTGCTCAGCAGTCAGCACATCCCTTGTCGTATGTTTGCTATATCCGGATCCCGTGTCTCCTGTGTAGGTATAACACTCCCCCCAGCCGATAGCATCGTATGACCATTAACCCCTCTCCTTTCTTACAACAAGACATCGTATGACCATAAATCATTTCCTTTCTTGCAACAAGACATGGTATGACCATTACCATCTCCTCCCTGCGGCAGGACATGGTGGCCGCGCGGGCGACGGCTCCTCTGCTGATGCTGGCGATGATGCCGGTGGCCGTCGTGCCCGAGGTCCTGTTGGCCCTCTCCCCGGCGGCCACTGCCGAACAAGGTGCAGAAGATGACGCCTCGCCGGGACTCAGGTAACTGTGATAGGATGGTAACTCCCCAGGACTCATATACGAGTAAACAGGATGACATCAAAGCCCAGGTGATGAGTGGAGGGTAAATTAGCTCTCAGGGACCTCGGTGTTGACGAGAAAATGGTGTCTCCCCGGAACACATCATGTGAACTGCGGTAATTCCCTCTCATCCTCGTGACCTCGTATTCTCGACTAAAGTTCAAACCGTTATTGCTGCTGTCGACACATGTCACCGTGAGACTATCACAAGTTGAGTATGCCCAATTTCACCCCGCGTCACCACCTGTATCGACAACGCCTCACACTTCCCTTTGCCCTGTTGGCACCATTAGAAGGCCACACAGGTAGGTACTGTGCAGGCAGTATGCTTAATCCGTCGTTCAATAAGTAAGGTAAAATCACACGTATTTCAGTCCACATTTAATGCAACGACACAAAACTAGCAACATATCTTCATTGAAATATCGTCTACAAATTGGCTATAAGCATTTGTTAGCAGGTCTCTTCGGGACAGCCTCCCAGGCCTTCGGAACTGGCACCTACATCTAATCACCGTTCAGGCGCACGCGCTTATCCCAGCACTCCACCCGGCGTTGAAATCCTGCTTGGAAAACTCCTTATTGCTATTCCAAAGCCATGTCTTGATTATTTTATCGATTGCCTGATCAGTTAAGATTCCGGTTATCCAAACAGGTTCAAGTGGGACGGCGCCAGACCACGGCTGTACTTCAGCTTTCCTGTATGTACTGCTAAAGCAAAGCCGATCCCACACTGATGTCTTGCTGGGCGTCCTTCTGTTGTTCAGTGAGCTCACCTCGTGATGACCTTGTAAATATCAAGCATATCTGATGATGCCTAGAACTGTTCCGACCTAACACTTCACCCTGTTAATGAAAGCAGTCACGCAGATGCTCCGGGTCTCCATAATCAGCTCCCCGACTTTACAGATTGTGCCAAGTCCAGAGAGGCCTGCGGGCAAAAGTCTACCCTGTCCCGTCCCTGCTCTAGAACTTTGTCTCTTACGCTGCTGTGTTCTTGTTGAAATCGTACCAACTGTTCACCAGCAAGCATTGCTAATGGCAATAGCGTCATCAGGGTCAACTCACTCATTTTGAGGTGAATTTTGGCTCGCGTGACAAACTTTTGATTAGAAGTGTTATTGTCTGCTTTCTACGTGTTTCGAGCGGCGTCTCGTTTTAAGCGCCATAGCGCTTCTACGCCAATCGTAATGTTTCGACAAGTGTAAATATGGATGCTCAAATAAATCATCTCTCATCTCATCTCATCTCATCAAACCGGGTATTTTTAGAACGGAACTCTGCTGCATCAATGTTTTCACATCGACCGTGTTCGGACAATGAGCCAAACTCCCAAAAACAGTTTCGAAGTTTGTGTAGAAAATTGTTAAAAGATTCAGATGGCATATTTTATTTTGCTTGAATTCCTCATATAAATGAACTATGGTACATTTTACCTTACTTTTTGAACGACCTAGTACAAGGACGGTCCCTGAGCGATGGCCTCAGTTATAGTGTCTCGACCGACGCTCGCGGGGCCATCGTTCATCCACTTTCCGGCCATCATTCAGCACGCCCCCTCGCCTGTTCCTTCGACGGGCTGTGCCATTGGCCGCCGATGATATCATAGGGCGGGTACACAGATGACGTCACAGCTCGCAACCTTGACTTCTACATAGATGTCAATTGACATAATCGGTACATCGTCTTTTGGGACGTCCGACGTTGGTAACATTTTACTTTGTTTAAATTTAACATTTTACTTTGTTTAACCCTCGCATGTGTAGGGGGGGGGGTCGGATGGACCCCCCCCATGGTTTTTCGCGAATAACTCGCGTAAAAAGCGGCCGATCGCGACGAAACTTTCAGTACCCTCGCATTGATCAATTTGACACCTACCCTGAAAATTTCATGACCCTGACCCAAATGACCTTTGACCTGTGACCTCTTTTCCGAGACCATGTTTGGCCGGAATCGCGATTTCGCGTATGTCGGCTCGCACTAGCCGCGTGTTTGCAAGCTTTTCGTGGTTTCAAACGTTCAAACATGTGATTTGATGTTACTCCCGTGTGTGTCAAGGTCACCTGAAGGTCAGGTCAGGTCATTGACCTTTGGTGACCTCGGGTGACCTCGGGTCACTTTTTCGAGTTTTACATGTTTCTAGGCTAGTTTTTGGAGCTGAATTTGAATTTAGCAACCATTTGAACATTTACGAAGTAGTTTTGGTGACTTCGTAACATGTTACGAAGCTGTCAGAGGCGGTTGACACGTACTACGAATACCCGTCACGACGCCTACTGGTTGACCTGACCTGACCTGACCAGACCTGGTCTAAATGCTTCAAGACATCATCTGTGATCAAAACTAGCACGATATTCGTGATCAGCACCCCGAAAAACCCCTTAGCAGCCACACTTTACGACTTTCTAACAGGTCCCGATTTTCCCGACTTTGGGTCATTGACCTGACCTGGAAGGTCAACCAATGACCTAGGACCTTAAAATTGGGTATCATCGGCTTCCTCTCGTCACGGGCAACACGCTCGTTTTTTCCGCGAAGCTCTAGCTCGATCAGGGGCCAAACGGCAAGGGGGGGGGTCCAACCGACCCCCCCCCCTACACATTAGAAGCTGGCAAACGCCGCACACATGCGAGGGTTAAATTACCGTTCGGTCAGAAACATTGTAATTGAATTGATCATACAGTAAAAATGGCATTTATCGCTAAATGTTATCGAAATCATAGTGCCAATCATTAGCACACCGGTTTGATGCTTTTTTCTATAAAAAAAAACATTAAAATAAAACTTTATTACAATGTGTTCCTAGTTACATCCTCGTCTTTCTGTTTTACTTGTAGGTAATTCAATTTTCATTTCTAGCTGAAACGCCATCTCCCGTCGTTCCTCGTGTTATCTCGCAATAGCACTGCCATTTCTGGACGTGAGAACAACGAACAGCAACATTAAGAACAGTACGTCTGCAATTTCGTGCAATCTAGCGTCCACGAGTAGCTGCTGTGTCCCGCTGCCGGCCAGGTAATCAGACTGAAGTGAGCAACAGGCCGGATACAGGAGACACCGTTAAGCCCACGTCCCGGGTCATAAATGATCTCTTAGAGCTTATCGTGACTGAGATGAGCTGTCGAGACAGTCAAACGTTTATTGGAATAGCCAGAAACCTGGGAGAGAACGAGGGCGAAATTAAGGAACGGTATATAGAATGTCCAGCAGCGTCACTCAGCCAAACCGAGCAAACGCGCATAATTATACGCCATGTTACATTGATTGCTGCTAACTATGTAGTCTTAACCCTCGCATGTGTAGGGGGGGGGGGGGGGTCGGATGGACCCCCCCCATGGTTTTTCGCGAATAACTCGCGTAAAAAGCGGCCGATCGCGACGAAACTTTCAGTACCCTCGCATTGATCAATTTTACACCTACCCTGAAAATTTCATGACCCTGACCCAAATGACCTTTGACCTGTGACCTCTTTTCCGAGACCATGTTTGGCCGGAATCGCGATTTCGCGTATGTCGGCTCGCACTAGCCGCGTGGTTGCAAGCTTTTCGTGGTTTCAAACGTTCAAACATGTGATTTGATGTTACTCCCGTGTGTGTCAAGGTCACCTGAAGGTCAGGTCAGGTCATTGACCTTTGGTGACCTCGGGTGACCTCGGGTCACTTTTTCGAGTTTTACATGTTTCTAGGCTAGTTTTTGGAGCTGAATTTGAATTTAGCAACCATTTGAACATTTACGAAGTAGTTTTGGTGACTTCGTAACATGTTACGAAGCTGTCAGAGGCGGTTGACACGTACTACGAATACCCGTCACGACGCCTACTGGTTGACCTGACCTGACCTGACCCGACCTGGTCTAAATGCTTCAAGACATCATCTGTGATCAAAACTAACACGATATTCGTGATCAGCACCCAGAAAAACCCCTTAGCAGCCACACTTTACGACTTTCTAACAGGTCCCGATTTTCCCGACTTTGGGTCATTGACCTGACCTGGAAGGTCAACCAATGACCTAGGACCTTAAAATTGGGTATCATCGGCTTCCTCTCGTCACGGGCAACACGCTCGTTTTTTCCGCGAAGCTCTAGCTCGATCAGGGGCCAAACGGCAAGGGGGGGGGTCCAACCGACCCCCCCCCTACACATTAGAAGCTGGCAAACGCCGCACACATGCGAGGGTTAAATTACCGTTCGGTCAGAAACATTGTAATTGAATTGATCATACAGTAAAAATGGCATTTATCGCTAAATGTTATCGAAATCATAGTGCCAATCATTAGCACACCGGTTTGATGCTTTTTTCTATAAAAAAAACATTAAAATAAAACTTTATTACAATATGTTCCTAGTTACATCCTCGTCTTTCTGTTTTACTTGTAGGTAATTCAATTTTCATTTCTAGCTGAAACGCCATCTCCCGTCGTTCCTCGTGTTATCTCGCAATAGCACTGCCATTTCTGGACGTGAGAACAACGAACAGCAACATTAAGAACAGTACGTCTGCAATTTCGTGCAATCTAGCGTCCACGAGTAGCTGCTGTGTCCCGCTGCCGGCCAGGTAATCAGACTGAAGTGAGCAACAGGCCGGATACAGGAGACACCGTTAAGCCCACGTCCCGGGTCATAAATGATCTCTTAGAGCTTATCGTGACTGAGATGAGCTGTCGAGACAGTCAAACGTTTATTGGAATAGCCAGAAACCTGGGAGAGAACGAGGGCGAAATTAAGGAACGGTATATAGAATGTCCAGCAGCGTCACTCAGCCAAACCGAGCAAACGCGCATAATTATACGCCATGTTACATTGATTGCTGCTAACTATGTAGTCTTAACCCTCGCATGTGTAGGGGGGGGGGGGGTCGGATGGACCCCCCCCATGGTTTTTCGCGAATAACTCGCGTAAAAAGCGGCCGATCGCGACGAAACTTTCAGTACCCTCGCATTGATCAATTTTACACCTACCCTGAAAATTTCATGACCCTGACCCAAATGACCTTTGACCTGTGACCTCTTTTCCGAGACCATGTTTGGCCGGAATCGCGATTTCGCGTATGTCGGCTCGCACTAGCCGCGTGGTTGCAAGCTTTTCGTGGTTTCAAACGTTCAAACATGTGATTTGATGTTACTCCCGTGTGTGTCAAGGTCACCTGAAGGTCAGGTCAGGTCATTGACCTTTGGTGACCTCGGGTGACCTCGGGTCACTTTTTCGAGTTTTACATGTTTCTAGGCTAGTTTTTGGAGCTGAATTCGAATTTAGCAACCATTTGAACATTTACGAAGTAGTTTTGGTGACTTCGTAACATGTTACGAAGCTGTCAGAGGCGGTTGACACGTACTACGAATACCCGTCACGACGCCTACTGGTTGACCTGACCTGACCTGACCCGACCTGGTCTAAATGCTTCAAGACATCATCTGTGATCAAAACTAACACGATATTCGTGATCAGCACCCAGAAAAACCCCTTAGCAGCCACACTTTACGACTTTCTAACAGGTCCCGATTTTCCCGACTTTGGGTCATTGACCTGACCTGGAAGGTCAACCAATGACCTAGGACCTTAAAATTGGGTATCATCGGCTTCCTCTCGTCACGGGCAACACGCTCGTTTTTCCGCGAAGCTCTAGCTCGATCAGGGGCCAAACGGCAAGGGGGGGGGTCCAACCGACCCCCCCCCTACACATTAGAAGCTGGCAAACGCCGCACACATGCGAGGGATAATCTTCCATGCGAGCTCATCCGCTTTTCTTCTATGCTAGTTTAAATATTTCTGTTATTCACGTTAATGCATTTTTCCTCCGGGCCAATTAATACCCTGCCTTGAGTGACCTTGACAGATAATATCAGACGCTAGCTACAAAAATATTCACAATTGCTTTTTCGTTTGATGCCATTTCTGGATCATTTCCTATTTCAAGGAGCATACAATACTCTCATTTGAACATCTGAAATGTAGAACATGAACACAAACCGTTATGATGATCAGCAAAAAATTGCAACCAGAGCAACTTAGGCCTTAACCTTTCGCTAAAGTAATATTGGCAGCCATAAGCTGGAGTGAGCTATCCACTCAGAGTGTTGAGTTAGTTATTTACATATATCAAATTATCCACACTCCTTACAAATAAAACGCTTTTAGAAGATTCTAACTGCATGGAGCCTGTGACGGCATAGTCACCCCACTGATTTAGCAGCCGCGGGCCGCACCCAGGCTGACTACTCCCCACAGCACCCATAAATATCTGCCATTGACATCAACCTTTTGCTGCCCGACACTGCTTTAATTTCCAATGGGTCTGATCTCAGATCCGAGCCAGATGACGCGGCGGTGAACGCAGACAAAGGGGTAGGTACTCAGAACGGAGCCGACCTTTTGAGCCGAACTAAAATCAACCACCGACCGAACAGAACGATATAACCCGCTTCCAATCGGTGCTTGTTAGACAAGTTCTTTCCATTGCCCATTCAGTTGATAGCTCGGGATCGTGTTTTGACTTGTGATAGGCTTCGCCAATGCACCTGCCACCTATACCTAGATATTGACACCCGCTAGCTTGCAGTGCGAATTATCAATGATATACGGTCTTGTGTTTGTCTATGATGCACTCGAATGTTGGTAAACACTGCGTCCTCAAAGTTCACAATAGGTACTGACCAATGTCTTTGAATGTCTTACAGTGCACTCTATTTGCTGTTCACAGCACCTCTGACGATTATGCTATGCGTACAGATATGCTATCAGAATTGCAAAAATAGCCGTTGATCATTGCGTCATATGATCAACGGTTATTGGACGGCAACATGGACTGTTTCTGACATTTTCACAATGCTGTTTCAGTCGACCAAAAGGAATGGATTCCCTGGGTCCACTGGAGTTCAGCGATATCTTCCCAGGCAACAAGTATCTCTACGACAAAATGAGGCCTCCGAAATATAAAGGTATGTACTTGAAGAACAAATCTTGGTATTAGCCTGCGCCCCACTGGGGGGGGGGGGGGCTATTCATAGCCCCACTCTCGTTTTTCTGCAATAACTTCTAAACCGCTTGACGTATCGACGCGAAACTTCCCGCACCGTTGGCTGTATCAATTTGACACGTTGTGTGAAACTATTAACTTCGTAGCTACCATAGGTCGACCGGAAATGACGTCATAGTGACTTTATGTTCGCCCAATTTCGACGCAAAACATTGAACTACGGCAGTTGCTCTCAAGTGCTCAGTTTTTGAGCTAGATTGTCTTTGTATGAGACGACACAGAATACACTGTGCTATCAAACTGCTATCTCGGAGTTGGAAAATATTGATCATTTTGAAGACATATTCATTAAATTTCAAAATTTATATTTTTATCATCCATAAGAGGTCTATGTATCATCTTAACCCTCGCCCATGTAGGGGGGGTTGGTGCAGTGCAACCCCCCCCCCCCCTGAGGTTTTTCGGAAATAGTGCAAGGCGCCAAATTTTGGATACCTTATGGGGCAAACCTTGCGCATCTTTTGATAAAAAAAAATTGACCGGGTCATGTCAGGTCACGGAGTTATGACGTCACAAAGGGAACAGCCTCCGGCCGGATTTTCACAAACTGAGTGCCAACGCCAGAGGTTTCCTGCCGGTGGTACGGACATCGGTTGATGGATCGTGATGAAACTTCCCATGCATGTTGGGGCAAGTATTGGCTATCATATGGTATAAGAAACTTGACCGGGTCAGGTCAGGTCACGGAGCTATGACGTCACAAGAGGAACAGCGTCCGGTACTATTTTTGAAAAGCGCCCGAACCACTATTTTGCTAATTCTTGTCACCTCAATGGGAATATGCAGCAATATTAGCTTCTATAGGGAGCAAATGGACCTCCCAAATCCAAAAATACAATCAGATTTCAAAAATTAAAATTTTGATTTTTCGAATTTCTGCCGCCGACTGTGACCTTGCCGACTTCCGGCGCTCCCAACGCGCCATTTTTAGAGCTAGGGAAACGAAATACATACCAAACGATAGAGAATTGATCAAGGAACACGATAGTGAAGGTTTCAAGTCGATATCTCCTACCGTTTTGCCGCAATCGCCGCGGAAATTTGAAAAAAGTCTATTTTTCCGAAAATTTGACCTTTGACCGGTCAAAAGTAGGTCAAATGTTGACCTAGGACCAAAAAATATACCACCAATCGCGAGATCTCGGCGAGAGCAATCCGTTGGTCTTTTCCGCTAAGCTCTACGACGCTCCGTTTTCAAACGCCAAGGGGGGGGGGTCGCACCAACCCCCCCCCCTGCATGGGCGAAGGTGGCAGATCGCCGTTTACGGGCGAGGGTTAAAAAAAAAACGGATTATAGATATGTGAAAGAACACATGCCCACGATATACTCTAGCAAGTTGTAGCCAGAAATCTTCAAAAATAGTCAAGTTATACGCATTACTTAGCACATATTTCACTATTGTGAAGTTTTCAAATCGACTTTTCAGTATGTATATGACATGGTACACAAAGATATGAATAGCAGCTTCATGTTCCGGGCCTCAAACTTCATCAGATAGACACAGTTTGTTGTTGAAAAATGTTAACTTTAAAATTTGACCTTTTGGTGATCGTGATTTGACGTGTCTTGCCTTGCAGTATTACGGTGTCTGATACGGTTTTTGCTGACTTGCCTTGTTGCCTCTGGAGGCTCGAATATCTGATCAAGCCTTCAAAGGGGGGGGGGGGTGGCGGATTGAGGCGCGACATTGGGGCGGCCAGCGAGTTGACCGTGCTGCCATATGCTATGCTTGTCTGGCGAGGGTTGGTGGTCGTTCGATACCTCTATTGCCGCCTAGTGAACATAAGTAGGGTAAGGTGCCTAATTAGCGACCCTTTCCGATTTGCGACCTACCTCCCTACAGAAAAACTGGCAGGAGAAAACTGGGTAAAAACATCGTCAAAAGGTCAGCCATACTTTGGTTATCAAATTGAATTATTTTCCGGTAGTCGATGTTTCTGGTGGGACGTTTCAGGTGAGTTTAAATAAAAATGACGAGTTTCTTATCCAAAATGTGTGTGTTTGGGCCCTCTCTGATGAAAAGCGATGCACATTAGGATGATGCACCTTTTTTATTCTGAATCGACATTCCTTTTTCAATTGATTGCCGTTTTCCCATAGTGAATCGCTCAACTGTGCACAGCATGGCGGTTAAAAATGTGTCGCAACTCATATTTCCTATTTGCGCCTGACATGGTCGCAAATAGCTCAAGAAGGGAAAGAAAGGGGAAAAGAGAGAAATGAAAATGAGGTGTTGCTGAAGCTTGCAATGTGTGGCAGGGGATGCCAAATGTCGTCACCGACTGCAGGGTTGCCGAATTCAGCGCGGACCTCGAATATCATACAAGATAGCCCGCAAAATTTGGCTTTCCACCTTCTTTTCGCCTTCGGTGCATCACGTGATCAGTTTTTACTTACGTAAATGTGTTGGATAAACGTGCATGTTCGAGTGATTGGGTGCTTTGCGTATAGGTTACCTTTTTGAGATCATATTTCATCTTTTCAGGCGTCGCATTTTTTTGCCATTTTTAATATGGGGAAACCCATAGACTTATTAGCGACCCTCCCCGGTCGCTAATCGGGAAGAGTTCCCTATTAGCGTTTTTTGCAATGGTTTGCCAAAATGCTCTCTACAAATAAGTTAGTGAATATTTGGGCAGAAAATGACTATATTTTAATAGAAAAATGAACGATCTCTCCGAAAATCAAGCCAGTAATACAGTGGCACCCACAGAGCGTGAGCAATGACGGTTCAAATTAAGGGGGTCGCTAATTAGGCACCTTACCCTAGGTATTTCTTTCGTGCCCAGTTTTTCTACGGAGTTTGGGCTGCCACCTTTCTTTGGTAGCGTGGCGCGGCGATTTTGTGTGTAATAAGACGTTTCTGGTGCCATGTGGTGGAAAGGGTGGAAAGTTCCAGTTGTATTGGCGGAAAGTTCCATTTGGTCACTGGCGGTCCCAGGGGGGGGGGGGCCACGGGGGCCATGGCCCCCCCTTTGGTGCTGAAAGGTGGGGCCATACTATCTTTTGGCCCCACCTTTCAGATCGAACAAAAGTCCTAGAAAAGCTTTTCGTATGTTTCATTTTCTTTCTTGCGCCATCAAAGGACGTAAATTTCACTCATGAGTGGGCTCAGTTTCGCATTCTGTCAATTTGGCGGTCAGCGTCTCTGGCACCGGTTCACGAGTATGGCCGGATCTTATATGAAATATCAGCGTGGGTTTACTTGAGGCTCTCGTAGGCCCAGCAAAGTCTGGCATGAGACCCTCTTCGGCAGTGGTGGGTGGGCCCTGCTAAAGGAGATTGGCGTAAGACCTCATGGGTTGGTGCTGTGTACCTCAGAAGCCCGGTGGTGACGCCGCATGCCGGCTTGGTTTCTTAAGGATTAGCGTGGGAACTCCGGGGCCTGCATAGAGTTTGCATGAGCTAGTATGTAATCTCAGTGGCATATGTGTGTAATGTGTACACAGTGGCGGTCGCGGGGGGGGGGGGGCATCAGGGCCATGCCCCCCCAAAGGTCAATAAAGGGGGCCATCATATCATTTGCCCCCCCCCCCCTCAAACAACCAATGGGCCCCCACATAGGTGTATGGGGCCCTGGCAATTATTCGATCGTCACGAGGCTAAAAAAAAAACACGGCCCAGCTATTAATATAGCTCCCACACCGGTCTTTGAGCGTCCTACACTGACCTCTGAGGGAACTTCAGTGGCGGTCAAGCGCCCACGTTGGCCGCTAAGAGCCTACATCAACCTCTGAGACCCCACATCTGGCCTATGAGGGCCCCTAACCGGCCTCAGGGGTCCCAACCGGCGTCTGAGGGTCTCACACCGGTCTCTGGTGGCCTTATTTCTGTCTGTGGTGTCCCAAGACGAACCTTTAGGTGCCAATCAGGGCCCCGCACTGGCTGCTGAAGACCCGACGCCGGCCTCTAAGGGTCTGCATTGGCCTCTGAGGAGGGCCCATCTTGGCCTTTGAGGGCCCTCTGCTGGCCTCTGGGGTCCAACGACGGCTCATGCCGGTCTTTTAGGGCCCCACGCTGACCTCTGAGGGCCCATGTTGGCCTGTAATGACTCACATTAGCCTCTGAGAGCCCAACTCGGTCACTGATTGTCTCAAACTACTGGCCTTTGTAGTTTGCAGGCCCTGTACTGGTCTCTGAGGGCCCTAAACTGGCCTCTACGTGAAAAGATACATGGGTGGGTTTCTGAAGATCAGAGGGCTCACGCAGTCTCCGGCACAGCCTTACGTTGGTCCTGATCGAAATTACTTTACGTCCTGATGGTCCGGCTCAGATTCCCTCATATTTCGACGTCGGGACCCCATGAGCCGGTGTGGGTCCTGGGGCTGGCAGAGACTGATGAAGTCCTTAGGGCTCAGGGCCAGTCTTTTTAGCAGTAAGACTAGGCAGGTTGAGTGAGCCCCAATAGAGCCGTTGCGAAGCCCCGCAGGAGTCGCGCGCGGCCCTCAGATGCCAATTTTGAAAGCTCGGAACCTGTGGGGGGTCTCCAGAGGTCGGTGTACCTACTCTCTCCCGCCGCCACACAACTAGGTATGTTACCTATATGGGTAGGTAAATGTCATAGTCTGAAAATGCTCTCTGGGTTTCACATGCTTGTTCAAAGCAAGAGGTATCTGTACTTTTCCGAATTGTTTTATAGTGGTAAGGTCATGAATCCGCGTGCCTGACCTTCCAGTATACCTATGCTACACCGATCCGTCGTCATGGTGCAGTGGGCCGACCGGTGGAAACACCGTGGGACGGGAAATGGAACTGGTGATTTTGCCTTAAATTGAGCTTAAAGATTTCACGCAAGAATCAGATGGATGAAGCATAAGTAATGCCAACTGCGTGGCACCTCGTGGACGTAAAAAATTAGCCGATCACCCCCCCCCCCCCTCCCGGTGACGGATAAATGTTAT